AACTGCCTTTTAAGAGGCAGAAACTTCGGACAGACCCAGACTCGAGTTCCCACGTGTCCTGAAAAATCTGGATATTTAAACACTCAGAACACCTGGAATTGATTGAAATGATGTTTATTGTATTTTAGCCGCTCACTCAGACCACCTACAGGAACCTGTGGTCAGTAACTGTGTTAGCTCCACTTTGTGGCGCATTTACGAGGATGCGTGTGGATTAAAATGGAATAAAATATATTAAAGATTAAGATTATTTTATGTAATTTAATTATGTATTTTCTTTTATTTCAACAAATTACAAAATTTACTCTAATAATGAGCCCCAAATCATAAAGTTTTCATTTTCAGAGATATTTTGGTTTTGGATTGTTGGTCGGACTGATGAACTTGTTAAATTGACTAACAATTATGACAATCACGATTTCCAGCTTTAATTTCTCACCAATAATCAGTTTATCTGACGGTGGAATGAAACTCTTCAGTTCCTGCAGTCAGCAGGTTCATCTGCCCGGCGACGACGGTCACATGATCCAAAGTAAATGTGTACAAATGTGTCTGAGAAGCAGGATTTAAATATCTCCATCCAAAGGTTTTTTTCTTTTCGGGACGTTTGAACATGAATGTTTGTGTGTGTGTGTGTGTGTGTGTGTGTGTGTGTGTTAATATCTGAGCTACAAACACTGTTCATCTAAAATACTTTACAGCTACTTTAAACTGACGTCAGTGTTGAATGAACTCCATCTTTAGTGCAATTAGTTAACATGCTCGGAGCGTCCTGTGACCACTGACTCACTGCATCAACAGCTTTTAAACATACATGCTCTTAATATTTCAAAGCTAAATCTCAGAGTCCAGAGTTTCTGCACACAAACACAAAGAGATCTCCACAATCATTTTATATGAACGCTCAGATCTCTTCAGTTTGTCTCAGTGCTGCTGAAACTCTCCGACCGTTTATCTTTTGAAGTGAAGGAGGTGTGTTGCTGACGGGAGGTGGATGATGGGAACAGTCGCAGCCTGAAAACCGTCTGTCCTCTAAACACAAACATCAGCTGCACGCAGTAAACCTCCGGACGGAAAACAAACTTAAAACTTCAGACAGATCAGAAGCTCCTCGTTGGATCTGACTGTCAGTCGAGGTTGAACCCAACGTCCAGACTAACAGCTGCACCAATCAGTGGTTTTATTATCGAACGGTGGATTAACAGCACTAATTTAAACAGCCAGAAGTTCTGCTGCTCATTCTTGTTCTTTTAGTGCAAGTAAAAACAAGTGGCCACTGGGACTGACAGCGAGACTTGTGTGTGTGAACGTTCAGATGTTGTCAGTGACCTTTGTATTAAGCATATAAAATCAGCCCACTGGGAGTTGAAATATGGCCACTTCCGGTTTAAATGGATGTTTGAGTTTCTGTGTTCAGTCCCTTTAAAGAAACATTTAAAATAAGACAACCAGCAACTCTTCACACTAACATGAATCACTTGGATACATTTTTGTAATCTAAGTCAAGAACTTCAATTAATGTCGGTGTGACTAAAGCCTGCGAGGGTTCGAACCGTCAGGACGTTTGGATTCAACCTGCAGGGTAACAGAGCACCATGAGTTGTCTCAGCAGCACCCGTTGCCTTCGTCAACATTCAGAGAGAATTGATTTCTGCCGGTTGCTGATGCCATTGCCCAAACATGAGATAAGTCCTCCACTGGCTTTCTCTGAGCTTTCAAACTGTTGACTCTAATGTTGCCCAATCAGTTGCCTTGTGTTGGACAATAACTGATGTCGAACATTAAACCTCAGACAGTCCACTTCCATCAAACTTTAAACATGAACAGAAGCAGGAAGACTTGTTGTTGTTGTTGTGGTCACATGATGCAGTTTGTTTTATTGCTGACTGTCTGAACTCAGCCGCAACCTCCACAGGAAGCTCCGCCCACACCTTTCCGACCTTCTTCTTCTCTCTTTTCTCTCTTCTAAAGAAACTTTATGTTGCGGAGGTTTCAGACAGCGAGGAGGAGATCGCACTCCAGGACAGGAAGTTGATCCAGGTGACAACAACAATCTGACTGTCAATCATCAGCTGACGGGACGATGACGCCCGCCTCAACATGGAGTCTTAAACAGGCATTGCACTGCGAGCAACACGTCACTGCAAACTTCATCAGCCAATCAGATTCCTAGATTATGTTCAATGTTCAACCCAGAGAAATCAGTCATTTTATTCAGGTAACGCTGCGTTTCATTTGGAACCGATAAAAAGATCTTAAAGTTATCAGAAACAAGCTGAGCTAACGTTAGCAGCAGCTCGGCTCGCAGCCCCTCCGGGACGTCCTTTGTCTGTCCAACAGCGTGGGAGAAGCAGTGATTTTTAAGGTGGAACTGCTTTATTCAGTGTTTTAGTGGTTTTAGAGAAGAGGAGACCGATGTCTTCTCTGACTGACTGACTTCCTGTCTGGTGCCACAATGTTGATGTAGCATGAAATTGAGTCTGCACAAGGTATTTTATTTTGAAAATCGACCGAATTATCTATGCTGTTTCTGTGTCTGACTTCCTGTCAGTGTGCTGCTAGACGTGAAAGACCAGCAGCGTATTCTGTGTTGCAGCGGGCAGACGCCTCTGAGACGCCACGTGGCGCCCCTGCTGGAATCACCAGCGTCGTCTAGAACGGGCGCGATTGGCTCCAGTGACCACAGCAGAGCTAGAACACGGCACGACCGTGCCCGGTGGAATTTGGGGCTGATCCTTTCGCCAGTCCCTCGAGCCTTTTGTGGGCTTTTTGGGGGGATTTTTGCATCCTAAAAAATAATTGTTTTCGTTACCTTTATATTTACAAAGGGAGCAAGTCCTTGTCTACAGAGTCCGCCATGTTGAACCGCCATGTTTCTACAGTAGCCCGGAACGCACAAACCAAACACGGGCTCTAGATGGAGACCGTTCATCCTTTTCGCAGCCACTGTAAATTCTCCTACAGCCTGTTCTTATTCCCAGGTCGTCAAATACAGACGCGAGCAGTGTTCAGTTGTAATCTGCAACTTTACTGCTAGGTGGCACTAAATCCTTCATACTGGACCTTTAATTTGACCCTAAAGAGATGCGTTGGTGGAGAAACGTAGCGCTGAGGTCACAGATTAAGTCTGGATTGATAAAAACCGCTACAGGATGTGAACTCAGACCGCTGCTGGTAAATCTCTGATGTCTAAAGACTTAAAGATTTATTTTTAGGAACAGAAAGTGTTCATTTATATCCTCCTCCTGATCCTGTGGGTCCCCACTGAATGATACCTGAATCTAAAGAACACAATGGATACTAATCAATCACAAGTATCGATCGATGTGCTCGCAGTGCGTCCTGTCAGCCTCTCACATTCACATAAGACCTCATCAGCTGACCAACAGAAGCTGTGGCAGAATCCGTCTGACCTTTGACCTCCGTCCTCATCCACCAATCAGACGTGGAGCTTTATGGCTGCTGTTCCAACTGTCCACAGACTCCGCCCCTCTGATGACATCACAGTGCTCCCAATCCAACATGGAGTCCGCAGTTCGTCTCCACAACAGAAACGTTGATAAAAAGGAAAACGTGTCTTCGCTGGAGCCGTTAGAACTGAAGTGTGAGCGATGAGTTGATGAGACGAGATGCTTTAGTTTTATAAAAAAGGACATCACTACGAAAAAATGCATCAGCCGGTTTAAAATCTGCAGCGCTTCAATATAAAGTGCTTCATTACATTGTTACGTTTTTACAGTTTCTTATTAAAATATTGTTTTCCCTGGAGTGAAACCATAGTAAACATGTTACACGTTGGTAAAAATAAACATTTGGAATGTCTCTTTTTTTTTTAAGAAGTCCCATTGGCTGATTTTGGTCAAGCTGAACTCGTCCCCGGAGCCTGAAACAGGAAACGAGTCCACAGGTTAAAGGTTTCATGGTTCTTCAGGATGAGACAAACAGACGACAGGTGGAGGAGGTGAGCAGGTTAGCAGGAAATGGAGGTGAGAGTGAAGAATTTTTGGGTAGTCAGCAGCTCTTTACTTTAATCTGACGGTAATTTCACTACAGATTAAACTGAAATTTAAAGTCTAAATATAAGAAAACACTGAGTGACAGCTTGATCTCAATATAAAGAGTATAAACACTGTTAGCTAGCCGCTATATCCTGTTCCACACTGTAAATGTCAGTAAACACCTCAGGGACAGATGGACAATAACTGCAGTTCTCAGTGTTGTCAGCAGAAAGTTTAGATATGTTTTACTTTTATCTGATTATTGTAAAATGTCTAAAAGAAAGAAAACTCTCAGAAAACAGTAAAATTGAGAAACTGTGTTGTTATTAAAGTTATTGTCTATATGTTGTCCAGATTGACTGTGTTGATGCTATCCGACGATCACTCTCATTGATTGATGGTTATTGATAACCTGGTCCATGAGGCCTTGACAGGTTTTACTGGAGTTTCCACTGTGGATGGATTCACTTTGTGATGGGAACCACAGAACGTAGCTGACGGCGTTACAGAGGATAATGTTACAGCAGGGAGCAGGTTAGCTAACTGTCA